GGGGGGGGGGGGGTGGAAGTATTTTTGGCTGCAACCTCTTCCCAAGCATCTGGACCAAGAGGAAGGAATTCAATCATAGTTCTCATCAAGGATTCAAGTTCATCAGTGCTATAGTTCTTGAAACCAGCCTTTTGGTCTCCATCTCCACCAGTGCCAGCAATTTGTGGGGGCATTTTGATAAAGCTATTGATGGTTGCTGGRATGAAAATAGTATGGGAGATGGTATCTTTGGGGATTAACTCCTCCAATTCCACTGCGGCAACAAGCAGGGGGGGAAAGCTCCCCCATCATCAACAGCAGTTGTACTATTGTCCAACTTTCTTCAAAGAAAATGGTRCTTGACTGTAGATATGGTCTTCTTTGAGAGTTGACTCATCAGCACCATGGCACCAAATGTCAATGCGCCACTACGACTATATGATGTGCTATCATCCTCCTGTGTTCATTATTATTGTCTATGTCACATACCACTAGTACTAGTACTCTTTAGTAGTATGTTGGTGAGCCTGCATTCCTTGAAAGAAAACTACATGGGACTTTAAATTTTTGATACTGGAATTCCTGTTTAAATATCAAAATCTTGACCAAACTGGTGGGCAAAATACTTTTGTCTGTCAGGCTGTCCCATCAGTCTAGATAACCCTGCAAACCCTGACCTGGCATTATGGGAATATTAGTTCAGTGCTGGTGTCTTCTCCTCAGTAATTTTCAATTTCAACCACATTTTATGACACCTTTTATTACTAGTACTATCTGCTTGTCTTATGAAATTGTCTTTCTGTCAGAAAATGATTTTTATCAGATGACAGTTAATTTTTTTGTAACTTGTGTTGTCACTCACAAATGCACATCCAAAGAGAAAGAAAATAGTTTCTTTTTTGTGCTGAAGTACAAGCATTTTTACTGGTGTCTACATAGGTTCAAGAGGAAGAGAGTGGTACTATGTACTGGAGCCATAGGAAGAAGTAGTAGTAGTAGAGCACAAATTGTACACGTATGCCATAATAGGAGCTCAGTGGCAAGCGACCACATATCATCTGTTTAATATTTATTAATTCCTGATTTATTCTTGCTTTGGTTCTTATTCTCTTTTTATTCTCAATAAATGACAGTTTCCTTCAGCAGTTGGCAGAGAATGATACTAAATTGGGAATTACTACAACTAGTAGTAGTAGTAGTACTAGTACTGGTGGAGAAATTAATGATCCTGTGCTACCAAATGTACTAAGATGTACACAAAAGTTCAGAAATAGAAAGAGAATAGAGAATTTCATATCATTTTCATTCACTACTACGTAATTTCTTTTTTGTTCTCCATCTATTCTTGATTTATTCTCAACACAACAGTGAAACAATCGTTAAGAAAACTTAAGGTTTCATCTTGATGCACGTGCTCATATCAGAGTTCTTTTACTTCCTACCGGTAGTACGGCTCGAGGACTGGTACTTCGTAAATGAGATCTAACTCTCGAAAAATTTCTGGCCGTCGTTCGTACACATTTTCATCCTAATTTCATATCGTACAACAGAAATCATCAGTAAAMGTCGTCGAACCGAACAGAGGCAAACCTAAACGAGCAACCTTTTGGACTCACAAATCAGATTTGTTTTCACGACAGTGCAACGAAGCGGTGTTCTGCACTGTAAMGATCACCCCACCGAATCTAATTTGCAATGGCACATTACGTTGGTTCTCTCCTAGGTCGAGGCTGTCGAACTAGGGGGCTTTTTGATAGCCGGCGTTTGCGGGGGGGTTCGAGTACTTCGTCGGCGTTGTTTTCGTCGCTCAGTAGCAAGCTAGAGAACCCCGGAAAGCTCGTTGCGGGATTGACGCCAGAGGAGGTAGAAGCGAATCCCGAAATAGCCGAATATCTGCGATCCAACTTTGGAGACGAAGTTACAAACGCGGATGGAGAGATAACCAGTGGCATCAACATTCCACCTGAACTTCTTCGGGAATTTGGAATTGAAGATCGCTCCGATGATAATGTGCCAGAGAAAAAATACGGCGAGCCTCGTGTGGATGCTGGGCTTGGTAGTGCTGAACAGCAAAGCTTAAATATCCGAGTTTTAAAAACTTACGTGAGGTCCGAAGAAGGGTCGAAAGCATGCCGGCGTCTTCGATACAATAACATCATACCAGGCATTCTATTTGGGGGAGACCCTAATTTAWATATCTCATCATCGAACCATTCTGCAAAGACTCTTGTGAAAACCCCTTGGCCGGAGCTTCAGCGTGAGTTGGATAGATATCATCGGCAATTCGAAAGCCGTGTTTATGATTTGACAGTATTGGAGAACGAGAGTGACACAGAAGGTACAGTTCACCGCRTCGTCCCAAGTAGCGTACAGTGGCATCCTGTACAAGGTAGCATCTTTTGTGCAAACTTTGTTCGGTATCATGCGGGCCGACCACTGAAAATTCCAGTGAAGTATATTAACAAAGAAGAGAGCCCGGCACTGAAAAGAGATGGTTACATCATTCCCGTCAAAAAACACATCGAATGCTTTGTAGAAGAAGGGGTTCCCATACCAGATGCCTTGGAAGTCGAATGCACAGGACTGCAAGTGAAAGATATCATTCGAATGGATCGAGTTATATTTCCCGACGGTGTCAAGCATACTGACCGCTTAGATATCAAAAATTTYGTCATTGGTCCCGTAAGAGGAGGCAGAGGAGCTGCCACGGGTAGCGGTGGTGATGATGAAAGCGAAGAAGCTGAYCCACAGTAGAGATAATGAAATTGAGAAACATCACTTCATTGCATCGTATCAAATAACAAAATGATAAAGTTATGGGGCAATCTGTTGAAAAGTTCTTCATTCCTCTGTAACACAAGATGATGTGATATTGTAGTGTTGAATTTGTTCCAATCCYCATCCTTTTTCTCATGCCATTGTGCATTGTTCTCGTTACAAAAGTTTACGGAAACCCGTTTGGCCCAACAATGATTGCACCCTTTCAGAGGGAATTCTACCCTTAGATGCATTAGCCCAGCATGTCATRTTTTCGTCTCTGTGAAGTGACGAACTCATTGTGAGGATCTTGAACCTCTTAATGTAAATTTGTGCAATGATACTCTAGATTACAATTTAGCGCTACGCAGCCAGGGGAAAGATAAATGGTCTTGTACGGAAAAAATTTACTGTTTTTTTTTAATTTTTTTCCCTCTCCTTTTCCCAATCTTCGTAATGCAAAAAGAATCCCATGGATTAATTGAATGAATAAGCATTTTAAAATGTCTTCACAGCAGAAACTGTTCGTTGAGTCAATTTACAAATATCCGGCCGTGGTAACTCTTACAACATTRCATGCGAAGATTAAACTTCACTGTCGTTTGCTTCATTATCAATACCACTGTGTGCATTGTCTACAGACGAATGTAATTCCTGGTCTTCCATCTCTGTGTCCAAAATATTCCTTCGAGGAGTAGGGCTGCTTAGAGAGAATGAATCATTCATTTCGTCCTCCCCGTGACGAAACCTGTGAAATGCTCGAAATGCCTCTGTGGATGCAGGCAAGAAAGGATCAACACCAGAATAATTAGAAACACAGTGAATGAGAATGAGGCAGGTGATATTCTTGAGACTGTTCAAACTCCTCTTGGGATCTTTGCTTACCTTCTGGTGGCTGCGGTCGTAAAAGTGACYGTTGCAAGCTATGGGTGGYTTCGTCGTCATCGATACTACYGGTAACATTATTTTCAATTGATACAACTTCTTCTRCAACAGARTCACGTTTCCGTGTTGAGTACAGGAGCATTACGGAGACTATAACCGTTGGCCCCCAAGTAAAGCTAATCCACCAAGCCCAGCTGTCTCGCCTGTCGCGGTCGAAGCACRCCAGGGCAAGCCAGATACTTCTTSCTGYGTACGCAAAACAACTTATCAACATAGGACCRACTGCTTTGTTGAAGAGAGATAATCGTCTCTTCCATTGTGTAGACGGAACCAAAATCAGGATACATTTTGAGGTCATTTCCATTGACAATGCGACCATAAGAGCTAGAAGTCCCCAACAGATTGCTTCAAGGATASTTTGAAGYACTGAAAGTGGCATGGCCAACACATATTCACGGTTAGGGGGACGTGGAAATCGGCAAAAAAGTACAACCGATAGAGAGACGGAWACCGTGACCAAAAGCGCTGCGAACAGCACAAAAATAGATGGTAGCCAACGAAGCCAGAAGCTCTGGTTTGTACTTCCCGAATCCATTGATCGTGGTCTAGCGTCAATTGCTGTTTGAAGCCAAATTTCTGTCACAATGCAGAATGCCACAAGCTCAAAGGTCCTCCCAATTACGTTCAATAGAACATAACCAATATTTCCTGCTAATAACCTATCYGAGGTGAATGGAAGCATTCCAGAAAGATCGGCATATGAAATAAGCTCGCAAAAAGCTGCCATCCTTCGTATATTAGGAACATAAAGAAGCGAAAGTCGAAGGCCAAAACATTAGATGTGGTTGCAAAGAACATGAATGATCTTCACGCAAAGGTCCCCATGSAAGATTCGTGTCGCAAGCTTTAGAAAGACTTACCACAAAAAGGCATGAAAGGCTCGTCGTCGAGTGATCCATTGAATCAAACTGCAAGGGAAACTGTGGCGTTGCTCCCGCTGTTGTTCGCTTCCGTGTTGAATGACTGGAGTACGCGACTGAGAACGATTCTGCCATGCGGCGACGTCGTCCCGATCGTCCCACTGAATCCGTTTCCAGCACGAATGGAAGCCCAGCCTCCAGGTGCATAGCAACCATAGGAAGATGCTAAGGAAAAATCCTATCCTTCCAGCTAATATTGTTTCTCGTTCGTTCATTTTCGTCGTGATTTTAGCGGAATTTTTATGCTCAGACACTTTCGGCACACATGTGATGTTGTAAAGTAGTACTTCTTGCTAAGAGAAGAATTCCAGAATCGGTCAGGGCTAGCAGGACATGGACTCGGAATAACCGACCTCGCTAGTTCTAGATTTTGACCTGCTCTAGAGTAATAATGGAGTCGTTGCCAATAGGTTCTGTCCTACTCTGGAATCGTCAACATGATACCMGAGGTTCTTTCAAAAGTTTGATCATTGTTCAGTCGGGTTTTTACTCGTCGTGAAACGCACGTTTCCTTACAGCAGTCCGTCCGATTACCGTTGGGATCRGTTTTTTGGGGCCATGTGGTCAAGGAATCTTTTTGGTTTGTCATCCTTTGTGTAAGTATGGTAGAGATCAATMATAAACTTATGACTGGRATAGTTTGTCAATTGTCAACAAAGGCTGAGTAGACTCAACCAAGCCATCRTAAAATAAAAGTAACAACAACAAATTGGATAGTGGTGGTKGTTGWWSAASMWGYTGKYRGSAGGAGGASGAGGAGKAGKASTAGTAGTAGTAGTCCTCATTCTACTAGATAGTAGTTGGTGGTCTTGTTCTTCTTGTTGTTGTGGGAAGGAGTTACCTCCTCATCATCAGCACCACCACCAGAAGGAGGTGATTGTGCTATTGTTTGCTTCTTGTTGTGAGTATTAGTTGACTGAAAATTATCTACAGGAGGATTGGTGCTGGTGGAGTTACTACTAGTATGATTAGTACTACTAGTAGTAATCCATTGAAATACTAACAATAATAGTACTAGTACTAGTACTAGTAGTAGGTAGTAGTTGTACTACTAGTACTACTAGTAGTAATAGTAGTAGTGGGAGTGTGGGAGTGAATGTCCTAATAGTGATGTAAAGTGTGTGCTACTAGTAGAAGAAAAGTGAGTCGATGCTCTTATCGAGGATGGTGATGAATTTTATTGGAAGGGTGT